CGTTTTCAGTTCTCATCTAGGAGAATAAGAAGAAGTCAAAACGACCTTAATGAATGATATTACAATGATGCACACAGAACAAATTTTCAAAACAATTTCAGTTTAAATGCTAAAATTCGTACTCGATAAGTAAAATATACAATTGTAGCCATTTGGGCACTAAAACACTAATTTCATTGCAAAAACCAGTGTTCCATGTTTGAAATTTTGTAATCGTTGACTTTAAATTAACTTGTTCTGATAATTTTCTTTATGTGTATCAATATTGTTTGTTTTGATTTCTTCTTCTTTTTCTCTTAGATGGCAACTGAACATCAATTATAAATCACTTCATATGTATTTTTCTTATTCGACAATAGATAAAATTTCTTTACTAAGGCTAAAAATACAACTTAACAGTAGTATTTGTTTACGTTAGCCATATGAAAAAAACTTTGAATAAACTTCTACTACTGATCGGAAAAAGCGTCCATTTCATGGAACTAGTGTCCTTGACAGGTACGACTTTTCAAAACCGGACTCGGACCAAAGCTAATTGACATGCGGCAGATAGTTTTTCACAGTCACAATATAGTTTTCAAACTTGTATGTTATATGAAAAAGTATACTATTTAGCTCCTTCTATAGACAGTAACAAAAGAGAATTCATCTCAAATTCTACTAAAAAGCAAGAGAGTCACGAGTCACTTGATGTCTTTCTGCTTCTAAAATTCGATCAATTACGCTAAGTATACGTTTGATTGTTGCTGATGACGTTGAAATGGAACACAGTATTGGTGTTAAACGTCATAGTTGTAGATACATACATTCATATTTTTTCCATCATGATAGCGCATGTCCATCGTTATAATGATTCATTTGCCTCTCCATGTAGTCAACAAGTAGAGCTCGTCGTTATGACTCGCTTGACCTTCGACTGAATGTTCAACTCTTTCTGGATAACTTACTGTTTTACAAGTTCAATCAACACGACTAAAAACACCAGTGAAAATAGTTTGTCTATATCACACAAATGTTACTAGCCGATAGTCATCTCTAATTATTCCGATCCATAATGAAAAAATGTTATTTGATTGAAAGTAAACTTAATCAAATTAAAAATGTATGCTATTCATTTCGCTATCAGAATAGACTATGATGAGAAAAGCTACCAAATATAGACATCATTTTAACAGTTTTGTATCCTTTTGCTACCAGCATGGAGGAAAATCCATTTTTCTCAAAAAAAAAATAAAACCTGGAAAAACAAAATAGATACTTTTGAAGCTAAGAGACCAGCTATTCTAAATGAGATAGAACATTCCATTTTACACTCTCTCAGGAGAAACTAGACATGCTAACAAGAGTGTGAGATCATATTCGAAATCCAAACAGATATGCTGGGCCGAGCCAGTTGCAGGATACTAGATTAAATCCATGCGAAGATATTTCATTTTTTTTTATCGTAGTGTTATTTATGGCTCACGCTGCACATAACAAAGCATGTATTTATACTTATATGAAAGTTATATTTTTTCAGATATGGTATCAGTCCTGGAGGATTAGCATCGCAGTCTTATTCTGGTCTAATGTTTTTTGATATGGATTGGTAAATACTACATTAATTTTGTTGTAATATACTTTAGTTTATTTATTAAGGTATATGATGCCTGCTCTTCTACCTTTTTATCCATCACGTGCAGCAAATATACTTCGTTATCGATATAATAGTTTAGATGAATCAAATAAAATTGCACGCATATTTGGTTATAATGGATCAATGTTTGCATGGACTGCGTATGTATTTATTATAAGAAAAAAAGACAAAATGATTTCATTTCTTTCTTTAGATCATATTTGGGTCGACCAGAAGTAAAAAAAAAACTTAAATGAAATAAAAACTTTCTATTTGATTGATTAAATCTAATTTAGGGCTGTTGTAATGGTAAAGGTGGTTGGGAACTTTGTATTGAACAACATATAACAGGTGATGTAGCAGTAGCTGTACAAATGTATTATTATGCTACAAAAGATAATCTTTGGTTAGAAAATATTGGTTGGCCATTATTACGTGATATAGCAATATTTTGGTCTAGTCGTGTAACAAAAACGAATAATATGACATATTCAATTGAAAAAGTAATGCCTGTTGATGAATGGTGTGATAATGTTCAAACAAAATGTGGTGATATTGGTATTAATAATGCTATACAAACAAATGCTGTTGCTATTGTATCATTACAATTAGCAAAACAAGTTGGAGATATGTTTAAATTTGATGTTGATCCAGAATGGGAAATAATAGCAAAAAAAATTAAAATTAATTTTAATTATACAACACAAACACATATTCAATGGGATAATGGTAACGAAAAAGAAAAAGAAAGACATAGACATGTTTTATTGAATAGAAAATAATATTCTAATTTTTAGCTTCTCTAAAACCATCACCAAAAAATTATGTTTGTCCAGAAGGTAAAAGAAAATTTTTCTGTTTAATATTGATTTTTATTTGTTTAGATGTTCTTTATTTGACTTATCCAATGAATTTTAATGTTACATCAAAAATCATACGAAATGATGCTGAAACATTTATTCCAATAACATGTCAAGAAAATGCAGGTATGACTGCTCCTATTCATACTATTGTATGGCTTATGTTAAATGAAACATTAAAAGCTGAAAGAGAATTTAATCGATCTTTACAAGCATGTACATATGGAGAATTTCATGTTAGAAATGAGGTTTGGTATTTTATTTTTAAATATATGATGAAATTTTGTTTGTTAATATAGGTCGATATTCATGCCGATATCATTGGAGGACATGGATTTAAGTATGTATAGAATATTTTATAGGATAGTTTGTTCAAGTATAACTTTTAGATTACCTTTTGATAATAATAATACGATCCAAAGAATCTTATCTGTTTATAGTTCATACCATCCGTTATTAACTTTTATCAAATTGAATTATTTAGAACATCTTATATATGATCATTGAATAATTAAATATGTTGTATTTGAAAGTCAATCGTTATTTAATATTTCACATCGGATAGTAATAGTATATCTAGACCGAGACCTATATCTGTTCTAGCTGGTCGTGTAGAGATTTATTTTTACTAAAGTTTAACTTTTACCTTTTCATAGTTGTTTTTCTATCCGAATATATTCAAATAACTACAATATATAGTAATTGACTTTCAAATAATAGTCATAAAATGACGTTTTTAGGTTTATATTTATCAACAGTGTATGCGAAATTCAAGATCTTTCTCTTTACAATCGATTCTCACTTAATACGATCTACTTGGGTTGGAATTTTTAGGGATGAGTGAGTCTTGCAAGAAACTCTATTTGTAAAAATTTCAACTCAATAATAGAGAGCTACAGAAATCGGATAATTTCAAGTTAAAGTCGATATCTCAGCGCAATTTTTATCCGAATAAAATTATAAAATTCACTGTCGGTCTTTTTTCTATAAGAAGTTTGTTGAACTTCGGAGTTAATATAAACTTAAAAGAGCTAATCCGTACAACACTAAATACTAATTTTCTCCATAGAAGAATGAAATATACTAAATTTAGTTATACAAAAGAACTTACATGTAGAGTTTCAACATTTGAGAAGTACGTGTTTTTTTTATACCTTCTATCGTTTGACCGATGATTCAAGTTTTCTAATTATAGATTATATTTTAAGAAAAACACAATAAATCAGAAATCGGTTTTTTCATTTAAATTGAGAGAAAATATTCGAAAAATAGCTGATTTCTGGAAGCATATAACAAATGACGGCAGTCATTATCATCGAAAATATTTAAATAGTATTTATTTTCTCTTTTTCAAAAGATTTTTTTTTCTTGAATCAATAAAAAGTTGGTTCTTTTAGAAAACTTTTGTACTTCTAAACGATCTTTATGAATCCTAAGACCAAAATTGAACACAACGCACAAAATATATTATTCTTATTGTAATTATTAGTATCTATCTAATAATTAATATTAAAGCATTTTATTGTATGGTGACACAAATAGAAAGATGAAAGTTTTTCTAGAACTAATAGACCTTGAAAACTACGAAAAACAATGTATTAGAACCTTATTTTGCGAACAATCATATATATTCGAAAAGAAGAGACTTCAGTACATCGTTCTATAATAAAAATTCAATTCTGATATTGTTATTTATTCGAAAAACTAATTTTCTGGAGGAGGATAGCTGAATATTTCGTCAAGAAAGTCGGCATTGAGTATTTTCCAATATTTGATGGATTCATAGTTTCGAATAACAATATAAATTTGATGTTTCTTTTTTTTTTCTTTAGTACTCATTTTCTTACGGGTGATGGTGGTTTTATTCAATCAATTATGATGGGTTATGTTGGTCTTCGTTATGATGAAAAAAGTCTTTTATTTAATCCATTATTAGGTATTCTAACACCAGCAACAAAAAGTATTCGATTACGAAATATTCTTATTCGAGGAAGTTATCCAATTGATTTTACAATTGATCAATATTCAATTCATTTGATTTGTTCTCATTCCTATGAAAATATTCTTTGTATAACTGATGATCATAATATTCAATGGAATATAACAAGTAATGAATTAACATTAAATTTTCAAGATATTCATTTTCCAATTCGAATTGATTTATGCATTTAAATTGTGATATTTTATTGATCAAAAAAAACAAAATTTTCTTTTTTGTAATTTTTAAGAGAATTGTTGTACAATTATTTAAGTGAAAAAAAACCCAAAAAACAAAAAAAGAAGGCATATATTTTTAAATAACAATATATAAAAGAATACTAAATCTCAAGTATCTATTATCAAAATGCAGTTTTGAAATAGCTTTGTTTTTGTTGCTTAACTATATAATAGAATAATAATAAATAATTTAAAAAAGAAAAATGAAAATGAAAAAAAAAACAAAATTGTAGATATTTTTTTTTGTATTGTTTGCCTCTGTCAATCTTGCGAAAGATATTTTATCTGAATTAGAAAGGAATATCATCTTATGGATTTATTGACACTTGATCAAGTTTTGGTGGTTTACCCATACATCGACCTATACTTGGTAAAATTTCACCTTGAATAGGACCTAAAGAAAAAAAGAATATGTACATTATTATAAATATATGTTAATTTTATGTGTACCATAAGAAACTTTTTCTCCATCAATCATCATATTTCCACTTGTATCACTTGGTACAATTCGAAATGCACGTATAGGCATCCATTCAACAAAATCATAATCAAGATATTTTCCATCAGACATTGTTGTAAATGTTTTAGCAAGATTCATACGTATTGAACTATCAGCACGTATATATTGTAATGTTAAATAACCATCAGATAATGTTGATTTTGTTGATGCTATAGTATCTTTTGATATTGAAGCTTTAGATGTAATTAATACATGAGCAAATGGACCATTGATACGACGCCATTTAGTTACTGTTGAATCGGTCGGAATAGATTCATTGAACGGTAATAAATGTCGATGAAGTTGAGCAATTGTTGTATTTGGTGTTATCTGATTTGTATTTACTGTATCATCAGCAGCATCATATGGAATGTAATCAATATAACCATTATAAGTACGAGGTTCTAAATTATAGAAAGCATCAGTTTCGTATAATAATAAGAAAAATATCAAATTAAACTTCAATTTCATAGATTTGATTTTCTAATCTGAAAAACAAACAGATTTTTTTTCCGACCTGGTATTTAATGAATTTAGTATAAATCAAAGAAAAGTTCTGCAAATATATCGTCTATGTATAATCCTGACAGATTGAAGAGTAATCGATCTGTATACAAGGAAGAAAAGAAGGATACTTCTATATTTCTTGTATTTCCTGATATTTCTTCATGCTTCTCTCTATAACACAGCTGGAGACAGGACAGGACAGAAAAAGTTGTCCTGTGCTCAGATCTGCTCTGTATTTCTCCAAAGTAATGTTTTTGTTGAGAATAGAGGTCAGAAGAGCGACGCCTCTCAAGAGGTCGGATTTGTCCTTCTGAAACTAGAAATCATTGCACTATCTATTATGTGTTTATCATTTCGAAAGTAGATGTTCATCCTTCTGAAATTCGAATCATTCAACTGAAATGGAAATTTCTAAACTTCTGTTTATTTTGGAAGTACAGATGGATGCTTTTTCTCCTGTTGTCTATATATCAATAGAATAAACAAATTTACTTACGAATAACGCGTTTGATGGCTTCGACTGTAAATCGAGCTTCACCTAAATAATAACAAAAAAAACAACACTCGTGATAGAAACATGCAAAATTTTATCTTTTGTTTTTTTTTTGGTTACCCAGAAAACGATACTGTTCGCTATCACAGTCAACATCAGCAACAATAGCCCATTCAATACAAAGAAAAGAAAATAGTCGTTGTCCATCACAGATATCTACTACAGCCATGTCAAATGGAAGGACATTATATGTAGCAATAATTACAGCAGCTTGAACAATAAATTTTTCCATTGTTTTCATAATTGGTTGTCTAAAAATAAATTTATTAAATATTAATGTAATCGATTCACTATATGACGAAATCATAAGTTACAATCAATCTCTTACTTACTGGCTATAACGTACAATATTTGTTATAAATGCATTGCCGGATCCGCAAGGTAAATGTCCAATAGGTAATTTAAGAGCTTCTTGCCAATCATCTCTATTCATAAGACCATTTATAACCTTTAATACATAAAAATCATAGAAGAAAGAAACTCAATAAAACATATAAAGTTATTTACTTCATAAATAAGTCCATCACCAGATGCTAAAACAATACCACTCCAATCAGCAAGTTGTATAGATTGCACATAATCACGAGCGTGACCAGCACGTTCTATAATATCAAATTGATCGATAAATTAAAATAGAACATCTCTTTGCTATTTCACAATTATCAGTAAATTAAACAGTACTATCACATATTTCTTTTTTTTTTTATCTAAATCACTCTAATATGTTAGACAATTCAAATTAGATATTAAAACATCAGATTAATTGATAAAATTTAATGATATAAATGAGAATTAATAAAATACTATTAATAGTGAGATCGTAAGATCCAATTGCTATCAGAATTTTTAATGTTATTCGAGAATCTATAACATATTAAGGTTCTCACAATAACGTTCGTGCAAAGCAAATTTTAATCAATTATTATTATCCTATTTTCTTTTCAAACCTGTTATAATGATATGATAAGTAAATTCTGCTTCACTCCATACACCAATAACATATTCCATAACAAGACGATAAGCTTTGCCAGCACCACCAGCTGGATTAACAAAAACAAGAGCACGTTTATCACGTTTTGTTGTCACAATATCAACTATAACATTTGAAAACAACCAAACAAACCAATATTTATTGATTTCCAAAAAAAAATTCTTTTTTTTACAAAACTTACGAGGAAGATTACGTCTTAAATAAATAGCATTTGCTATATAATAATGCCATCGTGTAACGACAGCTAAATTACTTTCATAGTCATTAAGTTTTGCATATGTCAATAGTAATTGTGAACGTTGTAGAGTTAGTTTTTTAGAAAATGTTCCAATAATACCTTTTGGTTTCCGTAATGAATATAAATATATATTTAAATGACATTTTATTGGATCTTTATTATCTTTCATACATAAACATCCATAAATATCATCAATTGATATCAATTGTGTATTATTATCTAATACTGATCGTTCTTGATTATCATTATTTTGTAAAGAAATTGAAAGCATAGTTGTTGAAAATTTAACAATATATGGTTTAGATGATTGATCCTGAAGAAAAAAAGTATCTTGTATATCAATTGATCTGGATTCACTTTCTGCCATTTTATGTCTAAAATAAGAATAATATCAATAACAAAAGTTTTGTTTGTTTGTTTTTTTTTTCAAATAAAATTTATTTATTATTTCAATAACCATACGATATACAGTATATATGTATATATATATATATATTAAAAGCATAAAATCAGAAAGTATACAAAAAGAAACCAAAACACAAAAGCAGTGGTTTACATAAAATTTACCACATATAATCACAAAAAATAAACAATCAAAGCATACAATAGTCAATAGAATAATACATCACTGTTGCTTGCCTTAACTATAATTCATATTTTGTTATCATTCAACCATACGTTGCAATTCAGTTGTATAAACATTAACACTTTCAGCATCGTATAAAACAAAAAATACTTGTTGAATATTTGTTGTTGCTGTTTGTCGAAAATATTTTGATAAAGCAGCAAGAATTGTTTGTGCAGCCGTTTGTTTTGGAAAACCAGCACTTAAATAAATAGAACTTCATTTTTTCGAGAATAATTTTAAAATTATACATACCGTCCACTACTAATACTTGGTAAAGCTACTGATGTAAGACCTTGTTGATCAGCTAAAGTTAAAATATTTAAAGTGGCTTTATCAAGTTCTCCAATGGATTCATCTTGTTGAGCAGCATTCCATTTTGGTGAATGAACAGGAATTAAATGTGAAGCAGATAAATTTGGTGCATTACTTATAGCCACTAGATAGAAAAAAACCGCCTAAGAGAAAAGAAACCTAAATTATTCCATTTTACCATCACCCGCATTTGGTATTGTTGCATTTTTAGCTGCTTGAGCTACAGCATCTCGAAGTTGTTGTCCTCCTGCTTTAGCCAAAGCATTACCTATTATTCCAATTTAGAGGAAAAAAATTCATTTACAAAAAAAAAAAAAAAAAAGAAAGATTTCTTCAAATATACTAACCAACTTCACCACCCATATAAAATGAATCATTTGTTGGAAGAACAATAGCATCAGCTTTAATATTAACAATACTTCCTTGAACAACAGTTAACTAAAATAATATTATTATAGATATTTTTTTGTTTCTATATTTTAAATGCATCATTATTTACTTTTTGTCCACGAATAAGAACACGTTCAGAAAGTGTTGTTACTGCAGTACCTTTAAGTGCAGCAGCCTAAATATTTACATATGAATTTAAATAGATTATAATTTATTCTTAAATAAACCTTTGATGATGGTGTACCCAATACATTAAAACTTCCTTGACCTTTTTTCTTTAAAGTCGGTTTATGTAAACTTGTCTTAGCAGTATTACCAGTGGATGATACATTTTTTTTTGTTCCTCGTGATATTGATGATTTATTTTGAATTTTACCAGTAATTTTAGAAAAAAGAGCAAGATGAATATTCGGAAGTACTCCACTATCAGGCAATATACAATTACTAAGTAACTAAATCAAAAAAGAAAAACAAACAAGTTCAACTTCATTGTCTTTTAAATTCTTTTTGTTTTCTTACTCGATTTAATTCATAATCATTAGCATAAGCAAGTAAAATATGTCTTGGTATAATACGAGTACGACGACAATCACGTGCAGCATTACCACTTAATTCAAGTAATTCAGCTATAGACAAAAATTTTATATTGATGTTCTTGTTTTTTCTTTTTGCTTTTACTGATATATATATATATACATACCAACAAGGTATTCAATGACAGCTGATAAATAAACGGATGCACCTTGTGTTATTCGTTTCGGAGCACTTGGAAGTGATCGAAGTTGACGATGTATACGTGATACTGGAAAAATGATACCAGCACGAGTTGCACGTGATAATCTTGCCTTTTTTGATTTTGGAGTCATTTTTATTTTAATAAAAAGTTACAAAATAATTAGCTTCTGTTTTTTTTTCTAATTATTAGAATTTATCTAAAAATTATAATATTCGATTTTTACATTTAGAATAATTGATAACAAAAAGAACCCTAACTTTTTGAAATAATGTTCACTATCGTTTTTATTGCGGTTTTATATTTTTCTTCTGTTGTTGACTGGAATTGCAAAATATAGTTGTAATTTTTTGTTTTGTATACCTTTTACTTGCTTTCCTTTCCTTTCCTTTAGTAAATATTATATACAACGAATCAAAAATCGTTTGATTATCGTTCAATATGACTATATATTCTTTGACATCTGGAGGTCACTAGTAACTGGAATGAATTTGTATAATAATTAAAAATTTAAAACTTTAGCCAAAACCATAAACAACTATGTTCATTCATAATCAGTTTGTATTGTAGAGATAGTCACTTATAGTTTCTCGTTAAAATTTATTTTCTGTCTTTTATTATTAACCAATGAATTTTAAAAAAAAATATTTTTTTTTTCAGTATTTCCATGCACATCTTTGCCGTTCTCAGAATGCTTGTTTTTTTTTACTTATAGAGAAAAAAACATATTCATAAAATATAACATACTTAAAAATATATTACGGAATATATGAGAAGTGCATTTTTTTTGTCCTCCGATAAAATTAAAATATGAGAGGAAGGACAGATGACAAATGTGTGTATAAAAAATATAAAATTTACATGTTTTAAAATATGCTTTTTCATTTCTTATTTTGTATTCACCAACGCAATAAGTCACTCTTTTTTTTTTAAATTTTTTATTATAGATTAAATAACTTGTTGGAAAATGAAATTTTTTATCTTTTCAATTGTTTTATTGATTGGATCGAATTTGATAATATCAATGGCACAAACTAAAATTCCTAAATGTATTCAAAAAATGATTGATAATATCTTAGCTGAACCAGTTTGGAATCCACCAGCTAGTATTACGAAATATTCATATCTTGATAAAATAACGTATTTAGTGACCAGTGATTGTTGTGATCAATATATTAGTCTTTATGATGAATCGTGCAATTATATTTGTGCTCCATCAGGTGGAAAAACAGGCCAAGGTGATCGACGATGTATGAATTTTTATGACAAGGCAAAATTACTTGGTAAAGTTTGGTCAGATGAACGACCACATGGAAAATAAATAAATATTCATTATTATATATATATATATGAAATCGTGATTAAAAACTAATAAGTCCTGTGATATTTTTTTGTGAAAGAGGTTAAAATATTTTAAAAAATTGAGCAAATTAAAATATTATGTTTTACCTTAGAGATTTGTTTACCAAGGGTTGTAATTTTCCAAAGATATATCGATTACATTGGGCTTCAAAACTCAAGAAACACATCATTAAGAAAAATTCTTTTTTTTGTATGACTAATATATTGATTAATATAATTCTCAATCCTTTGGAATATTATCTTTATCATCTAAATCACCTATCTGATATTTACATAGATTAGAATAATACTTTCGTATATATATATATATATGTAACAAGGGAAGTCCTCTAAATCATAAGTCACTTTTGAATCGAGACTACGTGTGTTACGTAGACCCGAGTGAGCTACGAATATTCTGAAAAGAGTTCGTACCCTAAGCTTATTGCTACGGAGATACTACATTTTTACGGGATTTTTTACAATGAATGTGATGATCATCCTCAAGAAAACTAATTTTCAAATTTCGATTTGAAACTTTGTACAGAGGCAGACCTAGCAAGAGTAGTTTATTGTGAAAGTATCAAGTCTTTTGATTTGCTTCTATCCTGTAATAAGAATATCAATTCTACCGATGTGTATGGTCGATGAAGAAGACACACTTTTACTATAGCTGTATCTTTGGATATGAACAATGAAAAGATCTGAATCAGTTATTTTGATGTTTCTTAGAGGAGCCACGAACTTCTACTGAAAAAATATCATAAAAATGCAGTATCTCCGCTACAATAAGCTAAGGACACGAACTGTTTTCAGGATAGTCATAGCTCACTTGAATCTACATAATTCACGTAGTCTCGACACAGAAATGACTTAATGAGTTTGAAGAGGCCCCCGTAAGATGTGCTACAAGATTAACAAAGAAGATCATTAGGGTTAGTCTGAAATCGATTCCTTTTGAAAGGCAAAATTGCGTTGGAAACATTGCTAACCAGAAAATTTCTTCAGCTGTTCTCTTCCAAATTTCAATGATTTTTTACTGATAGATACTATATAGTGTTCTAATATAAACTCTAAAAGGATTTCAGTTTCTATTGAGATTTGACTAAGCTATCGCATTTGGATATTAAACTTTGCACATATAGAAAACTCAACTGGACTAGCTTTCATAAAAGAAACCTCAGAAGTTTTGAACAAAATCGCTTCAAGATATGAAGTTTTCTAAAAATGCATGTTGTATCGACTATTCACGAAAAAAAGGATCACTATCTTCTCATGTCTCGAAAAGATTTTGTTCAGAATTTCTGAGTTTTTCTATGGAAGCTAGTTTAGTCGAGTTCTCTCTATGCACAAAGTATCAGATTGAAATTCGAAAATACGAATTTTTTAAAAAACTTCAGCCCTCTAGGAAATAGACATATAAAAAATACGATAGCTTACTCAAATCTCAATAGGAACTCAAATCCTATAAAGATTTTTATTAGAACACTATGTAGTATCTATAAGCAAAAAACCATTGGAATTGGAAGGAAGCAGATGAAAAGATTCTCTCGTGAATCAAAAGTCCATAGTGTAGAATTTTTTCTTATCTTTGACCGTACAATATTTTACTTTTAATATTAGTTTATCTTTAGCATACACTTCAAAACATTTGTTATCTTCAGAAAAATAAAAATAAATACCGATCGACAAATAAATAGATATTCATCTTTGAACTTTATGCCGTGTAAAGAATCTAATGTTCTACTGTTGTGTTTGAATTAACACATCTATTGAATAATGTGTTATAAACGAGAATGACTTATCTTTTTGATTTATAGTTCATATCATTTAAATATTCTTCAAAAATTATCTGTAATAATTTTTATCTTTATTTTTTTGTTGTTGATAGTTCATTCTAGACAATTATGATTCTACCGTGTTGACTAAACACAATGAGGTATTATAATAAACGAACAAAAAACAAAAAAAAAAAGATGGAACAAAAAAAAAATGCATACAACGTTTGTTTCACGCACCATCAAGAACTGTTCTATAAAGAGAACACACATACAAATAAGGAAAATAGAATAACATCAAGATCAAAAAAGTCAATGAATGAGTAATGATTTGACTAATTCAATCCTAATTGGAACCACACACAAATACGTTCAAGCACATCACAGCATTAGAAAAAAAAAAAAGAAGAACCGAATAATGACGAAGAAAACAAAACATAGAAGAAAGAAAAAAAAAGCACCTATTGTCAATATGAAACATAAGATCATAATGAACAATTTTTATGGAAGAAATGTATCGTTTTTTTCTATTTGCTACTTTATGTTAAACACATGTATATATATATATATATATATAACCCATCTGAACAAAATACACGGCACACTTAATTTTTTGTTTTGTTGCTGTTGATCAGTTCTCTTTAGAATTGTTCTTTGATCTCATATTTAACTTTGTCGAAAAGTTTTAGCTCTATAGAATTCATTGTAAAAAAAAAATATTTTATATACACATGTACTATTGAAAATGAAAATTTATTATTTTCTTTGTCACTTTTAATAATCGAATAAGGCGAGTTTTGTAGATGATTGTTTATGGTGTTTTAAGATTGTTTTGTGATAATTTTCATTGCACAATATTAAAAAACAAATTCATCAATCAACAGTTAATGTCATTAAATAAAGAGAGATTAAAAAAAGACTCAACAAGGCAACAATAAAGTTTCATTTCAATAGCACATGAATATATTATATAGTTTTCTTTTTAACGAATTCTTATTCTATAGAACTAAAACTTTCAGAGAAAGTTTGAGTAATAATTGATATATCTTTAACATCAATATGAAATCAACAATGAATTCAATAAACAAAAAATTAAGTTTACTCCGTTTAACAATAAGGACACATACAAATGGAAAAGCAGGAAAAAAAAACATGAAAGACAAATTTTCGTTTCTTCGCCATCACTAGATTTATAGTAAATTCTAATATATATATACATTTGATTTAGAAGTGTAAGTTTTGTCAAAAATGAAAAAAATGCAAATAAGCCACATATATCGTCGTTGCTTGTTTATATGAGTACAACTAAATACATAAATTTTATATTTAGAACAATATTCGAAACGAAGGTAAAAAAATTATTCTTTCACTTTCTATTGAATATCTACCGTTAAAAAATCCCTGAATCGGACTTCGAAACTTTGAGTTCAACTTGTCGAACTTGATATACATAATAATAGAAACTTCGAATACCTATATGATTCTTTTTCTTTTTCGTAGGATTTATTTTTGACAATTGTAATGTCTAGTAAACGAAAATTATTAATCGAATAGTCATATACCATGAAATAAAAAAGAAGAAAAGATCAGTACCATTCAATATCTTTTCACTTTCGTCATTAGATGTATTTTCATCATTGTTACATGATCTTAAATTATATAATATCTCTGGACATGTAAGCTATTGCTAATTTTCGGAGTTAAAAAAAGCGGGATTCCACAGATCTCTAGTGTGAAACACTTTTGACTTAAGTAATGATAAAGTGTCAAGTCCTGATTAAAATGCTATATTCATCTAACAGTTAAAATCCACAAGTTTTTAGCGTAATACATGTCTATCGCTTCAAATCGATTAGCATATGGCATATAGAATGTTGTATTAGTATTAGAACTGTAACTTACAATTGATTATATATTTTTAACTAAGTCGTTTTCGTTTATTTGATTTTCGACTATTCGATTTTTTTGTACGAGTTTTAGTTGATTCTTAAAAACAAAACAAAACAAATAGAAATATTTAATTCATTTTTGATTTCGTATATTGTTTTTATTTTAAATAAAATATACCTGAATTATCTTGTTCAGGTTGTTTTGGTGGTTCTAATTTATAACCAACAAGTTCACACCAACCAATTGGATAAATATTTGGTGATTGACAATCAATCCATTGTTCAAAATCTTCACCCCAACCATCAAAATGAACACGAATAAGACTATCAGCTATTTCTGCAATTGTAGCTACGCATACTAAATGTGGTGCCATCATATCAACAGCTTCTATTTTCATGCCAACAGAAAATAGATTTATAGTTTTTTTCTTTAAAAAATATTTTTCTATGTATTTATTTATATTAAATAATAATTATATATAATTTACTTTAATAATTTGAAAAAGATCTTTTGGTGCATAAACTGAATTAGTTTCAAGTAAATATTTATCCCATTGAAATTCACCATGATAACCTAAAAGAAAGTTAAATAATTAATAACAAAGAAAAAAAAAATTATATTGAGAATATCTACGAATTGGTGGTGATAATGGAATTTTATTTAATTTGCAAAAATTTATTGGAAATATAAGACGTGAACTTGTATGATAACAAAACCAATCAGAACCATCTTCAACATTTGATCCATCAATTGATAACATAAAATAACCATCTTTGAATACCTATGAAAATTTCAAAAATAAATTATCAAAAAACTGGAGCTGTTAAATCATCACCTAGTTACAACAATTTTTAAATCTTCATTTTTTTTTTCGATGTTCAAATCGCATGAAATTTTCAGCCTTATATCATAAACTTTTCGAGAGATATTCAATTGATAGAATACATCAGACTGCAGTGCTCTAGGTTTTCAATTTATACTTTTTGTGTAGAGAAAAAAGGATCGCCGACCTTCTATATATTAGAAGTGTTTTCTTTATTTAATAATAAAACAGCTTAATTCGGAAAAACTAGCTCTACAAATTTACATGGAAGTAATTGACTACCATGAAACTCGTTCGCGAATTTTGGAATATACGATCAAAAAAAAACATAAACAGAGAAAAAGATTTTCCGTTTTTTTCTTCTGAAAAATAGCATATTTTTCAAGCAGATAGTGATAGAAAAATGAGGTACTAAATAAAAAACCTTCTAACTAAAGATTATGAAATGTTATGATTTACTTTTACAACTGTTGCTGGACAAATACGAGACATTTCTAATGGATCAACTGCTTCTAATTTTTGACCTTCTTTAAATTGTTCTTCATCTGATACTGGTATTTCAACCTAAATAGAAAATTTTTTAATAATATTTAATAAAACAAAAATTATTTTTCCTTTATTATTATTACTTTATAAAAATAATCTGCTGTTGGAACATTTGCTGGATATGAATCTGTTTCAATCATTTTTGTTATTTCATTCTTATATTCTAAATTTTAACAAATATTAAAAAAAAAATGACTAAAAATACAGCCATTCTTACCTGCAGTAGCTTCTAATTCATGTCCAATCACTTGCGACCAACCTAGAGGATGAATTAATTCAGATGTATGATGTACCCAAAAATGTTCGCCTGCAGTCTAAATATAATAAAAACAAAAGAAAAAAAAAATACTTGAAATTTCATGAATAAAATCTATAATATAAATTTTCTTCTTACATTTTCATAATTAATTCTTAATCGACCACCAATCTAAAAAAAGAATCTTTTATAAATCTTAATCAATAAAATTTTTAATTACATACAACTTCAGATATTTTTCCAATACGCATTGTTGATACACGATATTTATCAATAACTTCAACAATCATATTCTTTTTAAATGGACAACGAAGTGATAATTGTATCTAATTTATATATAAAAAAAATTTATTCTTTTTTGTTATTGATTTGTTCGTTTTTTTTTTGTTACTTTCTGACGAAAATTATCTGGTAATGTTTTTGATCCGACAAGTTTATTGATTAAAAAAGTTTTCCAATCAGTTTGTCGATGTTCAATACCTTAAAAAGTAAATATTTATTAATAAAAAAAAAATAAAAAATCAAATTAGAAAGAATTTTTCTTTTGATTTTTTTTTACTTCTTGGTGGTGCTAATTTAACACCATTTTGTCCACACCAACCAACACAATGAACATCTTTATTACATAAATTACACCAAAAATCCATTGATGGATCATCACCACAACCTTCATAACGTAATAATGCTAAATAACCTTCGACACGAACAATAGATGCAAACCAAAAAACTTTTTCTTTTATATCATTTGCATTACTACCACAATCTGTATTAATTACTTCAAGTTTCATTCCAGGTGTTAACTGTGTCCACATATCATATAATGGTGTCTGAATATAAGTAAAGAAAAAAAATATACATATATATATTCGATCAAAACAGAAAATCTATTGAATTTTTTACATGAGGAAAATAACTGACTGGTGCTGCATGTGAATCAGTTGTTTTTAAATAACTACCCCAATTAAAAGAAGCTGTTGTGTCAGCTTTACAAAAAAAACAAAAATAAAAAAAAAAATGATCAGAATTATGAGAATATATACCTGATGTGGTTGGAACAGTATTACCATTTGCATGAGGTGAAGTCGTATTATTTGGTATTAGAGATGGAATAGATACCGTTTCATCAGATGTTGCCGACATTGAAAAGTAAACGTTAAAATAATACAATTTTTTAGATTAATCTAGAAAACAAAAAAAAATGTATTTTTTCATTTTAATCACACCTCTTGTTTGCATGCAATATAGTATGCATGTTTCAACTATATAAATTCATGTGAGAAATGTTATTAAAATGAGATAATGTCGATAGAAACATCAGAAAATTCTTTTTAATCTGCCGCAGAATAATAAATTCAAATGAAACAGAAGTATAATTTGATGTTTCATGACTCATACATCATTTATTAAAAAACAACAGAGTCAATCAATCAAAATTTAATTGAAATTTATTTTATTTTTATAACGAATAATTATTTTATTTTTTAATTATTAACATTAATTCTTTGTTTTTTTTTGTAAAATTTAAATTAACCCTAACAGTGAAGTTTTACCGACATTCAGCGACATCTCTCAGACAGTACTGTCAAGTGATATATCATTGAAAGTTGAAAGCTCCCCTTGAAAACTCCGATACAAAATGATATAAATAATGTTAGGTTTCACGCGTCAGTTTTCTGCTATTTTCCAATTTTTATAACATAGGTTCAAGAGAACGACGCTGCAATCCGTCATATCAGAGAACGGCCGCAATAGTAGAGAAAAAGATGAGCGTTTTCTAACAAAAAAACACGAGTTGTAAAACACTATGACGGATTACGAAAAAAAACGGCGAAAATGAGTGCTGTAATTCGTCGTTACCAATGGCTGATATAACTGTCCAGTGAAATAACTGGTGATAGTTGCAATGTAGTTGTCAATAGTAATTTGAATTTTAGTCCGCAATGATTTATACTTCAAGAATCTGGAAATTCGATAGATTTTTCTGTAAAATGTAAAAATGAAAGTTTTTCACTATTGCGATTTGAAACTAAAAGATGAAATCTTCATTTATCTATAAACTTGTAGATTAGAATCCAGTCTATAAAATGTACTATTTGAAGTTTTTCTCTTTTGTCGTTTGGCAAGATACATCAATTTTAGTTTTACCTTAGTATTCATTTTTGAATAATCGACAATCGTTTTACTTGAAGAAGAGCTCTTGAAAAAATGCTTGAGTAAAAGCTACAGTTTAGTTCAATATCACATTTTGTAGAGAAGTGTTCGTTCTGCAAAATGATCGACTTCGACAATTTTTAGCATATTCACAAAAAGGACTTATAGAGTAAATAAAAACTTGCTGATTCACCAGTAAAAATAATTTTTCAGGTTTTTCAAAAAGTCCTTCATTACTCTTGAACAAAAATATTTCTCAGATTATATTCAAGTTCTGATCGTGATCTATAGTTTTAAACTCGTCGGAAATAGTCTCTGACCAGACAAAAGTGAACAAACATCTCGAAAAACTCTTCAATCCATTCGTTACATCTGCCATATTTATCATTCATTATGACAAGAAATCAAAACAAACTTCAATACATGACCATAATTAATTGTCTCATTTTTGAAAACATACATGTATTCTTAATTGAACGAAATTGATAAACTTCTCCATGTCATAAATGACAAGATATAAAAGAAAAGTCAGGTTAATAATTATATTCATTTCAAAGAAAAAAACGTTTTGACAAAAATTTGAAAATAAAAAAATAATAATTTCTATCAATAAAAAAATGAATTACAAAGCAAAAAAGATTTTAATTTTGTCTTCAATCAAAATAATATCACAAGAAAAATTATTACCAATTAAAAAAATCGTGATTTAATCATCATCGCAATACAACCTACCAAGCCTATAGATGCTATTTTTAAAATCAATTTTACTATTGATGCTTTTGGTAATAACATTTCAATTTTTGATGGTCCATACATAAGTTGATTAATATTAGATGATCGACATTCTTCTCTATCATCTACCGGTTCTTCATCTATCCATTTCAATGATAAATTTTCATCATTTTTTTTCAAATATTTTGTTATAACTTCAAATGCTGCTCGTTCACCTGCTTGTACTGCTCCATCCATATAACCAGAAAATCTGGTTGCTAATTCAGTACCAGCAAAAATCAATTGACCATTATTACCACATGATGTCCATAATTGTTCACGTAATGATGAAAATACTTCTTTTGGCATTATATCAGTATAACAACCACCACTAAATTGTTCGGCAGACCAATTTTGTTCAATATAATCACGACAACCTGTCAACATTTCATTACATTGAAAGGCTTGAGCATATTGTTCACAAACAGCTTGTCGACGTTCATCACGTGTTTTTTTAGCCCATTGACGACTTGAATCAGCAAGAATAAAACCCATTATAGCATAAAATTGATGTTCATCAGATGTATCATCATAAGAAAAAATAACTGGATTTGATACTTTTGATGTATCAAGTATAATACCAGAAAAACCATTTTCTTTCCAAAATGGTCGTTCAAATACTGTTATTGTCTTTATAATTGAACCCATATACATTCTTTCAGTTGCTTCACGTTTTTTAGGTGGTAATTCAGGTTCAAATTGAATTGTTTTATAAAGTGATGGTGCTAAAGCAATAATTAAATGACGACATGAAAATATTTTATTATTATCACATGTAACTTTAATTAAATTTTCTGTTAATGACCATTCAACATGTTTAACAACATGATTAAGTAAAACATGATTATCACCAAGTTTTTCACGTAATCGATTTGATATTTGTTGTGATCCACCACTGAACTTTCGTTCTTGTGCACCATTTTCAATTTCACATAGACGCATTATTCCTAATCCATTATTAACATATGAAAGCCAAGCAAACATTGATACTTCATTTGGTTCAACACAGAGTATTGCTCGAGCAGCAGCTCGATAAATTTGTTTTGCTTCATCAGTTTCCGCTAATGTTTGAAGCCAATCTTCAACAGTCATTTGATCGTATTTTAAAGATAAATTTTCATTTGACCATGGTGTTAAATTTGATATTTGTTCACATAATTCTTGTGTTCGACATAATAAATAATTAAAATCAAGTAATGAAAATACACCAATTGAAGTTGGTATAGTACCCGAATATACGGATCGATATCCATTTGATAATGTTAAAACATTTTTTCCTTTATTATAAATACGATATGTACGAATATTAAATTCACGTGCTAATCGAAGAATACGATTTTGAAATGGACCGACATAAGCACCTCCAACATCAACTGGATGTCCTTGATAATCAATTGTACATGTTCGACCGCCTACACGATCTCGAGCTTCAAGAATTAAAAAATTATCTATATGATGATCAAATAAATAATTTCCAGCTGATAGGCCTGATAAACCTCCACCAATGATCAGTACATCTAATATGTCCGATGACATCTGAAAAATAAAACGATTTTTTTCTCAGGCTTAAATAATTTTGTTCTAGGCTCTTGTTTTGTTTATTATCATACATCCACATGCATACACACACACACGCACAAGAAAGAAATATATTTATATATTTATAAACAAAAATAAAATATTTAGAGTTCATCTTCAGATAATTGTAATGCAGCTGCATCAGTTGATGTTGTATGAGAATGAAATGTTTTCAAACGTTTTTTTGAATGTTTATGATGACGATGTTTTGATGATGATGATGATAATAATGTTTCATTTGGTATTAAATTTGAATTCTTTGATTTAGGTTTAGATGTAAATATAGATGATGATTGTTTTGTATCATTATCATCATCAGATTTATCCGATTCACTTATACTACCTATTTATATAAAATATTATTTTTCTAGAAAAAAAAAAGATTTTTTTCGTTCTTTTTACCTAAAATATCGTCTGTTGTAATTCCTCCAGTTGTTTGATATTGTTCATTATCATCATCATTATCTTCATTTTGTTCGGTTTCCATAACTTGCATATTATGTTCCATAGCTGCTAAATCACGTGCAATAAATGTTTCAAGTGACATACCAGGTGTTGTTGGACTTTTTAAATCATTATTATCATCGGGTTCTAAAATTTATAGAATTTTTAAAAAAAAATGTTTTGTTTTTCTTATTCGAGAATTATTATATGTAAATGTATGTATATAATTAGTCTGTCCGGTTACATAAAAAGATTGTGCTTGAATAAAGTTAAACAGAAGATTTTCCGAACATAAAATAATTGAACTTATTCGAAATTTTTGGTTTTTAGATATTCTACAAAGATAGTCACATCTCGAATACTACTTATATCATAATAATAGTATCATTGTAATATTTTTGTGATAACTCTTTTCAGAAAGAAATTTTCAAAAAAAAATATTGCACCATGGTTAGATCTATTGTCTCAGTTATGAACACCAATGAAAATATTTTGTTTAGAGAACTCTTCAATAAAATCCCTTTATAGATTCTATCATCACACGGAAAGGATTAGACCTAGAACAAGTGCCTAATTGAGAATGAGAGCAAGAGCGACACTAAGGGCCACCTACCATCTGTAGATGAGGGCTAACTATTCTGAACTATGGCTCTATTTTGCTACAGTTAAAATGAATTATATACTATCAATATATAAATCCACTGATTTAAATAAATTTCGCTGGTCTCTCACTATTTCATACCAATCCAAAGATTAAAAATGGATCAATGCGTTATATGTGGACAAGCATAAAATAGGAAAATTCATTGAGGATGAGATCTCGAGATAATAGATTGTGATATATGCAATTATCATCATTGACAAAAAGTATTCAGAAAAATAAACTGATACATAATGTATATTATATAGCTTCAGAGGATAATGTTCATTTTCGCCGATTGAATTCAAAACATAGAACGCTTATAGATCAAATATGACGTGTTCTATATATAACATTTTATTATAATTAATTAGTTTATCATCAAATCGATTGGTCACCATGTCTATTAAATATGTTGCCTGGTCGAAAACAGATGCCACCAAAAGAAGGTTTCATCTATCTTAATTTTTATCGAACAGCCTTTTGCCGACAGTATAGCCTCCATATTTCTTAGAAGTTCAATAGCTAGATTCAGATATATTCGTGGAAAGGGTGTTGGTGTTTTCCTCCTCATACTGTCTCTCTCATACTTGACTTGGTAACCAATCGATTTAGTAATAAATAAATAAAAATAAAATGTTATAAATAACACGGATCATATTTGATCTAGACTCATTTTCGGTTATGAATTCATTCGGCGACAATGATCTATTTCACCTCAGAATAGATGTTGGCAAGATAATTCCGCGCTGATGTCTACTTCAACGAGTATGAACCTCCTATCGATCTATTTACAATAAACATATAATGATTCTACAGTCTTCTTATTTCAGGAAGAACTCATTTAGAATAAAAGATTTGTTTATTTAATATTTATTATTTTTCTTACCTTCTACTAATTGATTAAATGGAAAATGATTTGTTGAATCTGTTGTAATCATTTGTTGCCAATCATCATCATGTGATTGTTGTTCTATAGGTTTTACTAAACCTAATGCTTGTTGTTCAAGATTTCGTTCAAGTGCATCAAATTGTTCAGAATGTTCTTCGAATTGTTCTTTACATGTTTGAACTATTTTTGATGCTACTGCTGTTATGGAATGTATTTCACCATTATATTGAACACTATTTGTATAAAGTAAATTAACATCAGCTAACATTGATGCACGTGAACGATATGTATGTTTAAGAATATTCTAAAAGAAGAAAAAAAAATTTTTATTAGAAAATAAAGAAGAATCTCTTTTTTTTGAAATTTTTACATTTTTAATTTTTTCTAAATCCATTGGTGTTTTAACAATATCATAATAATCTTTAAAACGAACTTTATTAACAGCATGATGAAATGGCCGAGAATTTTCAACATTCATTAAATGTTCACTTAATATACGTTCAAATAAATATGATAGAGCAACAAGAAGATCATCATCTAATAATGGATTTATTGCTTTTTCTAATTTCATTAATTTATCTTCATTCTAGAAATAAATAAATAAAATAAATAAAATTTTGATATATTAATTTAACTTACAGCAGCAAATTTTTGAAAACAAGCAGCAAATATTGTTTGTGCATCACGAGTTATTTGATCAAATTCACCATTAAATTGACGACTATTCTCAACTAATTGTCGTATATCATTTAAAAATCCTTCCCGAGTTTCATATGTATGAGCAAGAACACGTTGACGAATTTTTTGTAAATCCATTGGATTTTTTATTATTTCATAATAAGCTGGATAACTTCGAGAATTAACTGGTGTTAAAAACATTGTTGCCTATAGAAAACAAAAACAAAAAAAAAATTTATTTTGTAAAAAGTTATTTCTCAAAAAAACCTATCATTAATCTTGATATACTAGTTGTCCTATTCATCGATGTGACTTATATTTCCTTTGTAATTAATATATGAAAAATTGATAAAAGTTTGCAAATTTTGTTTACTATGAAGGTAAAAAATTTCATCTTTTTCTATTTTATAGAGATAAGATATTCTCAGAACATAAGAAATTCTTACAAGATCAGATTTTAATAATTACATATACTAGCAGAAAAATCGTCATGAATACAAGTTGTTTTGTGGCCATTGAACTGTTCATATGGCAACGAATTCTTTTTCTATTTAGCGAATATTTATATTCAAAGAGAAACTTTTTATGATAGAAAAAATAGAGCTGATGAAGGCACCTTGCCAAGTGATAAATGATTTTTACTTCATTAGATAAGTCATATGAAGAATCGGTAATGCTTTAAAAGATTCATACTCATAAGTCTTTCTTCTAATGTTATAATCATTTAAGTGAATTTTTCAATTCAAAATTTCTATAAAAGAAAAAAAAAAAAATTTCTCAATGAAATTAATTCATTGCAAAAATGTTACACAGTCAAATGTCATCTATCCTTAGATATGAATATTAGAAGAAAGTTTGACTTAAATAACTTTTCTGCAAGAAGAAAGACCTATAAACATAAATCCTTTTACACATTGTATAATCTTAATAGATCTTCCCTAATAAATATAATGTGATCTTAAAAGCGATTTATTACTTGTTCATATTTTTCTTCATTAGATCTTTTAAATCATAATAATTTCAAAAAAAAAAATTTTTCGAAGAGCATTCTAAGATTTGTTTTCTTTTCTCTCAAATACGAGAAATATATCATCATAATATGTATAAAAACTTACTTCAGGCATATCACGAAGTTCATTAAGAATACTTTCAAGTAAAGTAGCAAAACTAACAAGAGGATCAATACGTCTTCTTTGTACAGTTCTTGCACGTTTATCTAAATAATCTATACTAGTTGATGCAGGTGTTGGTGTTGTTGGTGTATTTGGTGGAAATGAAAACATTGTACCTAATGGACCAGTTGATAATGGTGTTGATGTTGGTTGTTGACGAAATCCTGTTGATGATGTTGCACTAATACAACTTTGACTATGTTTAAGATAATTTCCAACATTTGTTGGTGTTGTTGAACTTTTACGTCTACTATGACCTGTATGTGATAATGTTGTTTTAAGTGTACCACTAGATGTCGGTGTATAAGTTAAATTAATTGGTGGTGATGATGATGGTGATGATTTTGTTGGTGGTATAAATGGAATTTTTGATACATGAACAATAGGTGGAGGTGTTGGTGGTCGTTCAATATTTAAATTAGAATTAATTGATAATAATTGACTATTTGTTGTTGATTCATCACCATCACCTATTGATTCAATTCCACTTAATGATAATTTGGATGTTCTCGATTTTTTTGATTTTCGTGAAGATTCTTTTGATGAAACTCTAATAAATATTTATTAGAATATTATTTTAATTCAATTAAAAAATTAATCTAATAAACTTACTTATCAAGTACATTTTTTGCAAAGATTAATTTTGTTCCACCACCTTCAACCATCTTAACTGAAACATCTCCAACATTCATTGAAGTATTTGTTATATCATGTTGTTGTAAATCAAAACTATGTTGTGCATCTTCATTATCAACCGTTATATTTGTTTGAATATTTCCATTATTTGTTGTTTTTCCATACATTGGACAAACTCGATTTGTTCTCATATGACCTTGAGCACCACATGCACCACATTTAAGCTACATTAAAAGAAAAAAAAGAATCAATAAGAATTATAAATAAATAAAAGGATGAGAATAATAATGAACATATTATCGAAATTCTAGTGCTAGTAGAATACATGATAGACTACAAGAACATGTATATATTGTTAGCAAAAGAAAACGTATGGCCACATGTTCGGAGTCGTAATTGGTTCTTTCGGATAGGTAACAATAATTAGCATCGACAACTGATGACTTGGATAACTTTTATTTTTGTCCAAAAGATTCAAAATACATATGGGTCGACTCAGTTTTTGATGCTAAACCCAAATATGTCATTTGTTTTGACTTAGGAAAATAGAGAATCTAATAAAAATCTCTTCCGAACAAATTATACATATTCTTGTAGCTTGTCATGTATTTTCCCAGCACTGAAATTTCAGCGATATGTTTATTTTTGTTTTCTGATATATTAAGCTCTTCTAAATCGAGTAGCAGTATAAAAAAAATATAGCTCAAGTCATGCTCTATTGATCACATTATGACTGAGCTCATTAACTTGCGGCAGTATCTATCTACTTAGTTTACAACAAAAAATAAATATGATTGTCAAGTTAGTAAGAAGCATAAGTACTCATAATTTTAGATTTTGCAGCAATATTTATACACGATTAGATTTGTCAACTTAAGTGGTAGAAAATGTGTCCCTGTTATTTAAGAAGTATCCCACCGATTTAAGATCTTTTTCAGATTTTTTTCTTCGTTTAATTGTTGTTGTCGTTGTTGTTGTTGTTGAATCAGTACCATTTATTGGTAATGTTATTGAATTAATCATTTCATTATTTTCTTGTCCATCATCATTAAATGATGTTGAACTAAAATAATGAACCAAACCAGATTGACTATTACTATTTAAATTATCTATTGCTGTTGATATTAATTGACTAGTTGATGTTATATTATGATTATTATCCATAAATAAATCTGAATGATTATCATCCATAATATGAATATCATTTTTAATTAAAAAATCCGAATCATTTGATAATTTTATTGATGATAAATCATTATTATTATTATTATTATGATTAATATTATTTAATTGTAAATGTGAATTACGTATTGGTGATGGATTTGTTGAACGTGATGATGGTGAATGATGATCAATATTTGTATTTGTTGATATTGTTGTATTACGTTGTTGTAAACGATCTTGTCGACGAACACGACGTAATTGTTCTTGTAATCGACGACGTTCACGTCGTAAATTTTCACGTTGATCATCATCAAGTGTGAAAAATTGTCGACTAAAAAAATAAATAAACAAATATATAAATAAGAAAGAACTAGAAAATAAATAACTTACATAAAATCATTATCTTTCGTTGTACGAATTTTTGAATAAGCTTCAACAACCATTGGTTTATGTACATATTCAACTCGTTGATATTCACGTCCATTATCATCAAGATATGTACGTACAATTTTAAGTACACGTGAACCCTATAATGAATAAAAAAAAAATTTTTCATTTTATTAATGTAAGGTTGTTATAAATTCTAAATGATTATTAAAAATCAGAGAAGACGATTGATCTCTTCTAATTAGATATATAGGAAAGATACTCCTACATTATGTTCACTTCTAATATTAAAACATCAATAAATTTCCTTTCATTTTCTTTTGAATAATACATACAGTTTTTTTTGCTGTATCTAATGTATCAACATTAGGTTTTATTTCATGTAATGATTGTTTTGATACAGTTGGTTCTAACATTGATTCAAGATTTTTTCTCATTTCATCAACATCAGAATCTTCATCACCACTTGTTTCATTATCTGTTGATGTTAAATGATTTGATGCTAAAGATTTATTTTGTATTTCAAAAATTTTTCGACAATCTTCTTTATATTTTTCTTGATATTCCATTTGACTATAACGATTTCCACGAGCAAATTTAGCCATAGCAGCTAAGAATAATGATAATAATTTAATTTTAATTTTTTTGTTTTTTTGTTAGAAAAATTTTTAATCTTTTATATACTTACCACCTTCTTCTCCATCACGAGCACGTGCTGTTGACATTGTTCGTACAATATCAATAATTTGCCATCGTGAAAGATTTCGAACAAAACTATCAGATACACCAAATTTATTAAGAATTTTTTTTGCATCTTTTAAATGAAGACGACGTAAGTCAGCATCTGTTCCTGTAACCATTTTTTTTGTTTGTATTGCTTCAGGTTCAGCTTCCTAATTAATAATAATAATTAAAAAAAAATGTTCCTATTTTTTTCTTTGTAAATTAAAATAAAAAATAACGAACTCGAGCATTAGGTTTGTTTGAAACACGAACATATGAAAAACCTTCACCACATCCAGTTGGATCAGAAAAACCACGTAATTGTAACCAACATTTACCTTTAAGTGAATCAAGATAGGCTTTTGTTGTATGCCATGGAGCACATTTAACCTAATGAAAAATTAATTTTAAGTAAAAACAAAAAAAAAATGTTCATATCATATCGCAACATACTTCATCTTCGATTTTACTTGTATCATTTTCATCAGCAGCTTCTTCATCAACAGCAGCAAATAAAACTTTTTCACCATAACCAGCATCTAAAAAAAAAAAAAAACTCAAATAATATAAACATTTGTAATTTGAATAGATGGAATAAATAATCTTCGATCAATATCAATTTCTCGACATACAAAACAAAAACAAAAGTTGAAGGTCTTGACAATATTTTAATGAAAAACAATTAGATATTTTAAAGTCAATCATGTTTCAAACTAATTCTTCAGTAGACTTTGGTTTCTCGAAGTTTCAACTCATGAGAAAAGAAGTTCTCATCTTTTATCCTCATATTTCAACACTTCGGTTAGTTCGTAATTGAAAATTCTTGCTTACAAATCAATAAATATAAATTAAACTAAAAGAATTTATTTTCAAAATTCTTTTAATATATCTTCCTTACCTTTAAGTCGTTGTTCAGCTGCTTGCATACTATAATAAGCACAACATTGTTCAGGTGTAACTAATTGTCGAATTTCTTCTTGACTTGGTAAACGAAAATCACTACGTAAAACCCACCAATTGCAATGAACACCTTTAATTTAAAAAAAAAATTAAAAATAAATAAAAATTGTTGTTGTTTTTATTTTCAATAAAATGAACTAACCTCCTGTACGTTTAAAATCTGAACTCATTTTTAAACGTTTTCTTATACTATTTTCAGCATTTTGTGGAAATGCTTTTCTAACATCTTCCATTTTAATTCGTGGTGGTTTATCACGACTTTTCCAAAATAAACGAAATATATATGCTTGAAGAAAATCTCTTGCAAATATATTTGCACGTTTAGAATTTGGTCCAGGAACTTCTTGTAATGGACATTCTTGTCCAATTGTAAATATATTTTTTACATTACGTATATGATAATTTTGTTTTGTACGAAGAACTATAAAATCTGCTGGAAGTAATTCATGATGAAATATTGGTGCACGAAACATATGATTTTCAAAAGCCTATTTAGAGAAATTAGATTTATTTTTGAAAAATTCTTTGTTTTTTCTTTTACTTGTAGAATTTCTCCAGGAAGCATATCAGCTTGAAAAGGTGATGTATGAGCATAAGATATTTCACCGTAATCTAACATTGGTGGATTATCTTGTTTACCTGGTTTCTAAATAATTCACACACAAAAGAATCAAAAAAAAAAACACGATATTCTTTAAAAATAAAAACCTTTTTAAAATAATTTTTTATTCTTGTTGCCATTCCAATTTGATTAAGTAAAGGTGGATATTGTTCACAATATTCAGCTAAAACTAAATCACTATCTAAAGCACTTAAATCTTGTAAACGACGCATATAAAACATTTCACCACCACCATATGCTTGTCGTTCTTTTTCTCTTTCCTGAAAAAAAAAAAGAAAATTTATATTTGACAATAAACACACGCATAAAATATTCATATTTACAGCTGCACGAGTTTCAGATAGTTTTTGTACGGATTGAACTGAATGATATTCACCAGGTTTTAATTTTCCGTGTAAAAATTTTTTAATTGTTGGTCGATGAAAATGACGTAATTTTGTTGCATTTAAATGTGTTGGAAATAATTGTGTACAAAGTTCAACAGCTGGTGTAGCATGCTATAAAAGAAAAACATCAGTTATGAATATAAAAGAAAAAACATAAAAGATAATTACTTGAAGATTAAGTGTACCAAGATTTTTTCCAACAGAATCAACTAATCGTGGATTATAATATTCATCATTTGATAAATTCCAAAAATCATTTTTTGGACTATCTGTTTGATCATTAGCATCATCATCATTATCTATTGTTTCTTTTAATATACCACTGCCCGTAAGAACTCGACGTGTAACACGTCCTCGTGTATCCTTGAAAAAGACAATGAATTATTATTATCATTCTTTTCTTTTTTTGAAAATAAAAATAGAAATTTTGATATACTTTATGTGGAATTTTTCCAGCTTTTGTTGGACTAATTGATGTATTACCATCAGATTTTTCACGTGAATCTCGATTACGTTGTTGTTGACGAGTTTGGCAATCATTTGGATCAGTAGGTATTTCGAATATTAAATGATCATCATTTTCATCAAGAATTAATTCTGGTGGTTCACGTATACGTTCCATATTCTAAAAATCAATAAATAAATGAATTTCAATTATACAACGAATCTTTAAAATATATGAACTATATTTCTAAATTTTTGTTTCTTTTTACTTTCTATTTTAAAATTGATTTAGCCTTTTTTTTTGTTCTTGCTATGAAACATGAAATAGATTTTAATTAGGAAAGAACTTACTTCTGGATCAATAATAATATCTTTTTCCCAATCACCATACATTAAATCATAATTATCAATTGGAAAAATTGAATACCATGATTTATATTTCGCATCATCATCTAAAAATATTTTTAATAAACTTTTTTTATTATAATAATATATAAATAAATCTTACCATTTGTATTTTCTAAATAATCGACATTTTTTCCTAACAAAAAAATTAAAAAATTAAAATCAATCGAAAAATAGAGAATTATTTCATACCAAAAACATTTTTTTGAAAACTTGCTAATGAACGATAATTTGTTGTTGGTACCCAACCACAATATCGAATTTTTGGTGTATTTAAATCAAGTTTATCTCGTAATATTGATGTATCATATATAATATCATCTTCCCAACGTATTAAATTAACAGGTAATGATGCATGTCCTGTTAATTCATTATCATTTGTTATTGATTCTTTTGATATCTGTGTTTGTAATGTTTGTGATTGTTTTAATTTAAAACCATAATCATATGTTGATAAATCAAGACTTAAACCAATTTGATCATACCATAATCGAGCTGGACCAACACGCCAATTAGCTATTTTCAAATCAGTTAATGATGAATCTTGTCCATCAGATACTGGTTCATTTATTACTGGAGGTAAACGACCAAGAAATTGTGTCTAAGAAATAAGAAAATTTATTTAAAACAAAAAAATGATTCAATTTAGTTTTATATATACTTCATTATCAATTACACATTCAGTTATGTTTGCTTCACGAATCTCATGATTAACATTCTAAAATGAAATAAATAATTCTCAAAAATAAAAATAAAAAATCGATTTTTATTTTTGAATTTACCCCATTTACAGATCTTTTACGTAAATTTGTCCAAAGTTTTGGTAAATGATTTGATTTACCAACACCAAAGATTTTATTAAATTGAAGAATCTAAAATAAGACAAACAAAATTAATTTGTTTGTTGAAATGTCTTATTTTAAAAAATTAACTAACAGCATTAGGTTTAAATGCTGGAAAAAGTTCTTCAGCTGTTTTTCCTTCATATGTATTTGGTAACATTCCAGCCAATGGTTTTTTAATATTAATTGAACCCTAAAATAATTTATTTATCAATATAATATAACAATAATAATATTAAAATCTTACATGAGCAATATCTGTTTTATCAAATTCATCATCATCATCATCATCGTCATCATCATCTTCTTCGCTTGGTAAATCATCATCTGATAATGGTTGTGGTTCAAGACCACCATCTTCGACTATATCATCAAATAATTCCATGTCATTTAAAGAAGACATTAGTAGAATTTAAAAACATGCAAGATTATTTCCTAATGTTTCAGAGCATATATATATATATATATATGCAATAAATGTCCATAGGTGTCGAAACAAAAATAACTTGATTGAATGAAATTTTAATCAAATAAATTTTTAACAATATAGATGACAGTAGTATACATAAGAGTTATGGAAATATTGATTTCGTTGATACACATGGCAATTTATTTTATATAATATTTAAATATTTTACTCATATAGAACTTGATTCATCGCCAGTACTTTATAGCTATTTAACTCTTCGATGGTGAACCTTTCGAATATATATTTAGATCGTTAAAATTAAGTTCAAATACAACAGTTTTAATTCATCTTGGTTACAGAGTTTCTTTATTTTATTAAAATCTAGTGCATCTAAGTCTATTTCATATACCTATATTTATATAGGGTGGGTCTAAGGATATTTCATATCCATTTTTTTATATAGGGTGGGGCTAAGGATAATTTATATACGGTTTTTTAATATGGTGGTTTTAAGAGGTCTATAGCGATGAAGTTCAAACGATACACCTTTTAGACCCACCTTATGTAAAAAAAAAAGAAAAGAAAAAAAAGGTATATAAATTATACTTAGACTCACTCTATATAAAAAAAAAGGATATAAAATATCCTTAAATCCACGAGATCCCCTTAGATCCACGCTATTAAAAAATAGGTATATGAAATATCCTCAGATAAACTAGAGTCCCTTAGATCCACCGTACTATATGAAAAAAGGTATATGATATGTCCTTAGACCCCCTAGAACCACTCATTTCAAATGAAAAGGGATTGTTTTTTTGTTTAAATTCAGAAAAAATTCAAATAGACCATTGTATGCAAAAAAGAATTTTTCTTGCATAATTTTGACGAAATTGCTTTCGATAGTTTAGTCCAGTAAAACAAGATCAAAAATAAAATCCAAGACCATATTCGGATTTCTCATGAGACGGCGCATTGAACTATACTAAACTCGACTTCAATTTTGACAAAAATCGTTTTGGCTTTTTTAGATAATCGTGGCCGCAAGGTAGCACTATATTGAGTGATCGATGAGGGATGAAGGACAAATGTTAGAATCAAGTTTCTTCCAGAATTGGAGTTGAGTTTGGTAGGGTTCAATGCGCCGTCTCACGAGAAATTCGAATATGGTCTTGGATTTTATTTTTGGCCTTGCTTTACTGGACTAAACTATCAAAAACAATTTTGTCAAAATTATGCAAGAAAAACCATTTTTTAAGGTTTTTCGTTTTCTACTGCTTAAAGTACTTTGAGTCTATCTCCATCAAAATAACAGCTTTTTAGAAAAGTTTTTTTTTATCAAAATGCTTAGACTTAAAAGTTCCTCAAACGCTGAAAATTTCGCTAAAATCGATACTTTTGTACGTGTGGTTGAGATCCTTTGAAATACCCAAAAGGCAAAAAACCTTGAACAAAAAATGTTGCAAGCTATGGTGAAGGATGTTCGGAAGAAGCTTCGAGTTTTATGGCAAGGTGGATGTATTCACTTTACTGAATACCTTTTTTTTTGGTAGTACTTATCATGTGCTTTCTAGTAAAAGAAAAAATTAGCTTTTCATCTTTTAAAACAGCTGAGCTGTGCAGCTCGACATTTTTCCAGAGACTATTGCACCGCTTAATAGATTGAGGGGAAATAGACCAGATCAAAATTCGTAGCTCTGTTTATTCTTTCACTTGGCCTAGTTTGATCTGCAGGTACGTCAGGGATGGGGGAGTCCGAGTCAAAACTTGGACTCGAGTCGACTCGAGTCATTCACTTGAAAAAATTTTCATTTGCTTTTATAAAAAAATCACAATATATAGAACTAAATTTTTTCTGATTCCCAATTTTTATTCTAATAGAATAAACGGCATTAGAATGTTTTCTTCAAAACCTTTATTTCACTTATTTATTTATATGATCGTAAATCTTAGTCTACACATATTACAGGATCAGCGTTGGAACGGGACCGGTTTAGAAAGTCAACCGGGCCGGTAAATACCGGAAATTTACCGGTTTAAATTTAAAAAATATTATCTTTACTTAACTCTTATTCGGTAAGAAGAACTATGTATTTTGCTATGAAGTAGAACAAATTCTCCATCATTATACATAGATGTCCAGAAAGTCTTTCGATAGTGCCAATATTACAAATTTTGTTTAGTTTATAATCGATATTTATCGCGATGATTGTAATACTATGATAGACACGAAGACAATTAGGCATATGTTTTATCAGTTTTGAAATAGACCAGGCAGTACTATATAAATCAGTTAGGAAAATCTTAATATCCTTTTGAAAAAAAGATGATGCTTCATGATTATAAACTCTTCTTTATTCAAAGAATTCGTAAACTTGACCACAACATGATGCAATGATTCTGAATCATCTTGACCATTTAAATTTTGTTTAATTAAATCGAATAACCAAAAATCATATGGTGCCAGATTTGGAGAACTAGGTGGATGTTGTATTATAGTGATGCCTTCTGATTTAAGATAATTGGACACAGCTTTATGAATATGGGGTCTTCCATTATCGTGGTGAAGCTTAATACCACAAATACCTAGTGAAGGTCTTTGCTTTTCGATTTCTTCGACGACAGGCTGCAAACAGTTTTCGATACAATATTAGTGATCAACAGTTTGTCCGGGTTCTACATGATGAATTAAAACAGGACCGGTTGATTTAAAAAAGATGGAAAATAAAGTTTTTGGAGCAGAATAACTTCGTCGAACCACTGTAGGTGAAGGATCTCTTCTTGCCACCCAAGCAAAATGAAATGATTTTCGACCAAATTGTTTATGATAAAACCATGACTCATCACTTATCACCGCATCACATAATCGCTATGTTCCGTCTTCAAATTTTGCTAAATTTTCTTTACATATTCGGACTCGTTCAGCTCGTTGCGAAGCAGTCAAATGCTTTGCTATATAACGAGCAGTAATTTTTCTAAGGTTCAGATGATCAGAAACAATTCGTTGAATGGTGCCATGACTTAGACCAGTTTGCATTTCCATATCTTCAATTGTGATATTAGGATTGTCATTAATAAAGATACGGACTTGTTCAATATTTTCAGATGTTGTTTCGGTAACCAGTCTACCAGGTCGTTCTTTGTCTTGAACATCTTCTTGACTTTCACGGAACCCTTTACACCATTTCTCAACAGTACTGAGACAAGGAGCTTCATCACCATAGAAAAGAAAATTTTTTCAAGCTTCTATAAGAAATTGAGATAGTACTGTAAAGACTTTTGGTATGACCTAAGTATCTTTGATCAATAAGATCTTTTGTTCAAGTGATAATTCGTATTTTTGAACGACAAAGCAAGTCTATATTAATATAATAACAAACCAATAGAATCCATTACGTTTTGGATAACAATGACTATTGAATGTCGGATTCTGAAAAATTATGCAATGATTGAAGTAGATGAGATGTCTATCACAGTTATGAACATGCTGTTGCTGTGCCACGATGAAATAAAACAAAATGTCGTCACTGTTACAATGCTATTTGAAAGAAAAACATTTCAAAAGTCACTAACATTTTTGGTTTGGACAAGTACTGCTGTCACTAATTCATAAGATTCATTCGATTTCTGGATTTGATATATGTCAACACGAAAATCCATCACAAGTTCATGTAGTTTTACAATAATTTCGGAAAAAAGCTGCTGTGTCACCATTACTGCAGTGTTACCATAGACATTTCTGACAGTCAGTTTTCTCTCTTACTATAGCCAAGTCCTTCTCATCGATATTGTGAATTGAATGTTGATTAAGTAGTTGTGGATCTACGTTTTTTTTTAGATTTGAGTCTAGAAGGACTCGCTGCTTCTTAACACTGCTTCGAAGAAAATTTCTTATTAATATGTATCTGATTATCTTTGACGGTAAAATTTCAAAAAAAAACCACTTTCATTTTATCATAATTCCATTCTACATTCCATATGAATATATTACTTGTATATGTTATTTTTAATATTCAATATATCACGTCGTCATTCAAGTGATTAAAAAACAACATTTTTTTTTTACATACTCTATCTCATCCTATTTATCTCTATTGAATCTAATCAGTTTTGTCAACATGCATCTTATGATTGAAATTCACTATTTTTCTGCTATTCCCTAGATATTTATGTGTGATTATAAGTCACATTCTATAGTTGTTATTTGATGATAAAAGTCTATTATTATATTAGGTAAACAAGAAAAAAGGAAATTTTTCTATGATGACAAAAAAGTATTTAATAAAAATTTTGTAGTCATATTGATTTTCTCTTATTGATTATCTATCATCTATATGATTACATATAAAAATACTTATGTAAAGTCATTTTTGTGTCGTCCTCTCAAAAAAAAATGAATCCGTTAAGTAGCACCTGACATAAATGGTTTGTACGCCAAACATGAGCGAGTAGACAGGAAGTTAAAACAATATACAACAAATCATTCGTCTTGATAGATGACGAGCAGCAAACTAAAGTGAAGCAAAAAATTGATTAGCTAAGTAGAAAGTATATTTGTTGTTTCTTTTTTTGATCGTTAAAGGCAGGTAGTAATTTATTTCAAGTGTTATTAGTAGGAAGAAAATTCAATCAATTTGATGTTTCTTTCAAACTATTCAAATGTATAATTGACAACAGATATTTTTGTTACACATTTATTATCAAAAAAAATAAAAGTAATAAATTCTATTGACGTAGATGAATTAAGAACAGAACATCAATCTCTTGTGTATTTATTTTTCTTTCATCGAACTGTCATGTTATTTACATAATAATGTCAAAATAGTATGTATATTCTATCATCTTTGTTATTTTAGTTATTATAATAAAAAACATTATTTCCTGTCTTGTTGATTATTGTATACTTAATTAAACTTCTATTCACATTCGATGTTCTTTTGTTAGTAAAAATGTCAATATAAAATACAAAATATAAGTCATAATTTCATTGCAAAAAATAATATCTTTATTATTTAAAATATTTCATTATATTACATTAAAATAAACAAAAAAAAAAGATCAATTATTTATCTGGTTGAATTAATTGGAAAGATATTTTTTGGTGGCATATTCGGTAAATGATAAGTATGTAAATCTACGGGAGTTCTAAAAACAAAAAAGAAAAAAAAATATATATGTATATTATTTATATTTCTAATGTTTTGTCTTATACCTTGTAATATTAGCTGATGGTGATCGTGGATCATCCAATGGAGCGTCTGTTTGTTCTTCTGCCATATTAAGTAAAGGAATTTTATAGATATTTTTAATGCGACGTTGAACGTTACTCATTTGATTCCTGTAATAACAAAAGTAGATTGTCGGAATTATGACTAGATACTGACTACAGAAATGAAGGTTTTATAGACACAAAAAAAATAATTTACATATTCCTTTCCGTTCTGTTCTTTGCTTTTCTTCTCCACCCTCATTTCATTATTGACATCAACAACGAAGAAAAAAAAACACCCACTACTACGCAGATATACAAGTATGACGTTATGTTGAGTATTAAGAAATGAAATTAGATTTCTTTTTTGTTTTTTTCTTGAAGGACATTATTGTAGTGACGAAATAAATATTGTTTCTTTGTTGATATATACATACATATTTTTCATACTTATTCATAGAATTTTTGTATATTCTTGAATAATGTCAAAGGAAAAGATATGCCTTCAGGCATCTATTCATAATAATCTTAGGTTATATTGACCATTGAGTATTACTCTTTTTTCTTTGTTTTGAAGCAGAATAAAAGCAGTGATCCATATCACTTTAGTCATCATGACCTAATAACACAGCTTGATTCGATTTGCAATCATTACACACATTGTCAAAATGCTTTTTTCTTTCGTTTTTTTCTTTTTTACATTTAGTGTTTAGACTAGATGTAATCATATATATGGGTATGAAACAGATGCTTAAAAAGTATTACATCAGAACAATAATACTACAATTGTTTTTTAACGATCGAACGAACATATTCATTATCATTATTATATGAGTGACTGCTCGTGCCATATTGTTAACATACCTGTAACATGAATATATCAATTACACCATCATCATCGTTCAAGTGAAGGGAATAGGTGGAGAAATGACATAAAATAGGAGAGTGCTTGTGAAAAGCACATCTGTTTCGAGAATGTGAAAAACGTTAGCAACAACAATAAAAACAAGACGAAGAGTGTCAAAAAAAAAAAAAAGAGGAAAATTTATATTTAATAGTCGTTCTTATTGAATAAGATTCTAATAGAATGTCTAGATTTTATAGATTTAAATGATTAAATTGTATTTCTTTTTTTACTATATATTCGTTTGATCATTTGTTTATGTTTACTGAGCCAAAGAGATTGAATTGAATTCTACTATATATTGATCAAACAAATTCTCGGTAACATTTACTAACCCTTATTAATGATAGGATAATGTGTGAAATGATCCTGCTACTGTTTTTATATGCTTGAATGATGATCATAGAAGATTCATTTCGAATGAATATCCAATGAGTGAATTTTCGGGTAATCCAAAGAAAAAAAAAATTGAACCAATCAATAGAAATGTTGTTTTTTTTCTTCTTTCTATATTTCATTTTTGTTTAAATTGAAATAAGAACAAGTAAGTTGATGATAACAATAATTAACTAGCAAAATTAATTTATTATAATAATCAATCATGCTTGTTCTCGGCATGTGATCCGCACATGTATATTATGTGTTGATGGACTAGTTTAGTTGTCAACAGTGTCAATGACAAGTACCGTACATCATCGGCAGCATAGGCGTCATAGGATGTGCATGTTAGCCGATTTGTTTGAAGATAGAATCCTGCTGAGCTATTTCTTTCTTTTCTTTTTACAGTCTCAAGTTAGATTCATCTTTTTCTTTTCTGTAATCATAATAACAGACATTCATGTCATTGAAAACTATTGATACGTAATCTAATGGATATATATATATATATATCTCGAAGTCAGATTCATTCCTCTTTTTTTTTTTCTTTTAGATGAGTGATAAACTATTATTTCTATCATCAACTATGTCGAATAAACATGAACGTATACGAGAAATAAAATATCATATTAATCAATTATTATCAGAATTACATATGATTGAACCCAATAATGATTATTTAGAAAATTTTCGACCATTTAATATAACAATAAATTCATCATCAAAAATAATAACAAATGAAAAATGTTTATTAAATAATCAATGTCCATATTTATTTCGTAAACAAACTAAATTACATTCAACAACATATCATGAATATAGAAAATTTTATAGAAGGAAAAAATATTTAATATTATCACCAAAAAAAAATCCTTTTATTACACCTTCATGTGTAACAAGCACACCAAAAAATTCTCCTAATCAAAATAAATTACTTCAACCTCATCTGACATCAACACCACGTCATAATAAACGTCAATCAAAGAATATCATTCCACTTAAACGTCTCATTTATAATAATAATAATGATAAATTTTCTAATCGACAACGACATTCAACTAAACGATCAATTCTTCCACATTATAGTCCTTTGAATCCAATTGATGAAAATCCACAATGGATATAAATATTATTTGTTTTCTTTTTCTGTAAAGTATTTTCTAATTTTTTTTTGTTTCTTTTTTCCTTATAACCAAATAAATAGAAATAAACTTTTTGTTTCATAGATTATATTATTATTATTAATTAATTGTTCAGTTTCATTAAGCCAAGATGTCCATGTTCGATTGGGATCTCTTGAAAATGCACGTATAAATTTAAGTCCAGTCAAATTAGATTTATATCGAAGTTGATCTAATATTTGTCCAAATTGTTGAATACAATCAATTTCAATAGTAAGTAATTCAAGATGAGGACATAAAAATGATAATTTTGATATCATATTTAAATTAAATATAACATTTTGAATAGTTAATTGTCGAAGTTTAGGCATACGAGGTAAATCATTTGGTAATCCAAAAATTTTTAATGATACAAGTTGATTTGAACATTGTCTAAGACATTTATCAAGATTTAAATTATTTTGTTGACCTTGAATTTGTAAATATTTGATATTTTTTGGTAATATTGTAAATGATGACATTAAATTAATATCTAAGGTAAGTGAATTAACTTTTGAAAATTTCATTGTTTTATCACAATTTATTGGATCATAATTTAAATATATATCGGATTCAAATAATTTAAATGATAAATCAAAATGAGTTTTAGGATAAGTATTTGTATGAATTATATAATATAAATGATTGATTGAAAAAGAAAATGGACATGTATAAGAAAGATTTGTTTGTATATTATTAAATATTTGTTTGACTTCCATGTATGTACATGAATTAAATGGAATTTGAAGAAAAAAATGAAATTTTTCTATTTTAGATAAATAATTTAATAGAATTTTATTCCAACTTATAATATCAATATGATTTAAAGAATTTGTTGTACAATTATATGAAAATGATTTGAGATAATCAAATGATATTTGTTGAAAAAAATATTTAATTTCATGAAAATCAATATTTGATCTTTCTAATATATTAAATTTCAATATTTGAAGATTTTTACATGAAATAATATTTAATTTAGGTAAACTATTTTCATCTATATCTAATGATGATCGTAATGAAATATTAAGATATTTTAATTGAGGAAATACAGCTAATAAATTGAGAAGTAATGCTATATCTTCAATTGTCACTGTAAGATATTCAATTTGTGATTGAAATAATAATTCATCTTGAATTTCTAATCCTGGTAAATAACATGATTTAATTGACGATGACGATGATGTTGATGTAACTAATTCAAAAAAATTATCTGGATATGAATA